CATACTGGGCTTCTCCATCATTCATAATACAGCTCAAGTTTTACATTTATTGCACAATTACTTGCTCAGTGTCTGCCTTCCCCAGACCACGACTAGAGGCTCCCAAGGGCTCAGAGACCACGTCTATGTTGTTTACTGCTACAGTCCCAGCTCCTAATCCATTGCCTTGCTCAAGGCTGCCATCAAAATGTCCTGGGGGAACGAACCCCTAGTGAAGAAGCGTTTCTGCAGTGCTGTGAAGTAAAGGTACTACGAACAGGTGTAGTATTCGTGCCCTTCCTGCAAACGTTTTTCCTCAGATTCATTCTCCTCTTCCTTCTGAGGATGGGCAGCCCCACACTGGTGTTTTTCACCCCTTCAGCTGCCCTCCTCCCAGCCTGCCCCTTCCTGATAGTCTGCTCGCCCATTCCCTACACACCTTCTTCTCATGTTTCTTATTCCTCTTATTGCCAGAACTTTGAGCCTCCTCTCCTAGTGTAAATATAATGGCTGGGCCCAGGAGTCCTGGATGAGTACCCCATCCTGGACCATCAAGGTAGAGAGGTGGCATCCAAGGAAACCAGAAGTGGTGGGATAGCCTAGGCCTGAAGCTGGCTGGGAAAGCTGGAAGGCAGGCAGAAATGTTACAGTTCCGTTCAAAGAACTGAGCAGGTCTCAATATTTTTTTCCGTTAGAGACAAACTCATGGATTCCATCTCACTTTCCCTGTCTCCTTTCTTTCAGTTCCCAGAGGCCCTCCATCAACAACCATCTTGGCATCCTCAAACAAAGTGAGAAGTGGGGATGACCTCAGTGTTCTCTGCACTGTCCTAGGGGAACCTGACGTTGAGGTGGAATTCAGGTGGATCTATCCAGGACAGAAGGTAAGGGTGGGCTCTCTCCATTCACAGTTTTGTCCCCCATCCTCACCTCTAAGTGAAGAGATAGGAACTTAAGAAGTGTGAGAAATGTGTGAAACTATGGTAGAAGTGCAGGCTTATTGGTTTTCTAAGAGATTTCAGTATATTTAAAAGTATATATATATTTTTTTAAAGGACAGGGAAAAAGTGGATTCCATTAGGCACTTCAGCATACTCTCTCTATAGGTTTTCTCCATAACCTTTAAGCAAGGATGGGGCCTCTCTCTTTCCCCACCCCCAATGCTGGGTCAATTGGGGGCCAATTAGTTTCCAGCAAAGTGCTCTCCCCATACAAACTGTGCCCTGTGGTGAGGACATCCACCGAGTGGGCATATAAGCCTTGGTCATGGCAAAAAGGTGCTATGAGGCCAGAGATAATCTTAAAATAGACTTTCCAAAGAGCAATAACTACCCATTTAGCCTCTGTGCCTGTTTTGCTCACTAAAATAAACAGCTTTGCTACCAACATGGAATAATTCCTTCATTGCCAGAAGAGATTTGGCCTCCCAAGACAGACTCAGTAGCCAATACACTTCTGGCTTACGGGCTATGATTGGTGGAAAATAACTCTCCTCAGAGAAAAGTAGTTTCCTGGTAAAGGAAGTGTTGCCATACTTCAAAGACATCAATGATGCTCAACAGATTTTTTTTTTATGAGCAGAAAGGGTATTTATTAACATTGGTAATATTACAGTTATGTTAAACTAATCCAGAACACACTACATTCTTATTACCAAAGTTGGATGAAGCATATTAAAAGTGACCATCTTACTTTCTAGAAATAGGGAGTTAGGTCATCGAGGGCATCATGTTACCTATCCTCGGTACAACTTTTCTCCCCATTGGAGTCCTTTGGCATATTTGACTAATTCTACTTCTCCCTCCCCCAAATCTAAATAGTTAGGAGCTCTTATTCATTCACATTTGGCTTTAAATTCTGAGACTAAGAACTATTGAGTGAGCAATGTAAAGAGGAGAGCAGTGGAAACTTTTTCCAATTTTTTTTTTTTTTTTTGCCTAATACCAGTTCCACATTCTTGGGGTTCCAAAAGAATAAATTTTGTATTAAGTAGCCATTTACTGAAGAGCAGAAAGAACGTGCCAAACAGTATAATGTTTATACAGCATAAAAGCTCCCCTGTGCTACACATACCAAATAGTCTAAGTACGTATTTTACACATTGAAAAGAACACCCAACGGTGTTGGGTGAATGGGAGCTGTTTATAGCAGCTTGTTGCTTGTGCTTCAGCGCATGGGGGTGTCATTCAACAGGATGAAAGGCCTGTGACAATTCAAGACACTTGGCGGCTGATCCATAGAGGCCTGGGGCACACCACAAGAATATCCCAGAGCGTCATGACAATCGAAGATTTGGAGACCACTGATGTAGGATATTATATTTGCACTGCTCAGAATCTCCAAGGGGAGACTACAGTTGCCACCACTGTTGAGTTTTCCTGACTTGGAAAATGAAGTATAATGAATTGACGGAAAGTTCATTCGTATATACATGACCCGCTTTGGGGTTCTTTTGACTCATGCTTTGCCAGAGGCTGATGTCAAGTGCCAAACCCCACCCCCGGCCCTGTGAGTCAGACCCAGACATCCAAACTAAAAGGAAGTCACTCGGTCTAATAATAGAAGTGTTAACTCCTCTGACAGAAAGCATGTATTCTGATTGCTTACCTATGTACATGCATTTTCTACTTTTTTTATAATAAAAAAGCATTGATGTTAAAATTAAAACTCTATTAAATGAGCAAGTTTTTATAAAAAATATAAAATGAGCCAAGTATTTGTTTAGGAAGTACACCCAGAAGGACTTGTTGGCAGCATGCCTGGGTCAATACTTAAGATACTATTTGATAACACAACCATAATACATGAGGATCTAAAAATGGAACAGTACATGGTTCAACTATGTATCATATTGCATATAAAGTTATCAAAAAAAATGACGTTAATTTGCTTTTTTAAGCTGCTGCACTCCAAAGTACTAGCTCTAGATGGGTCATTCTAGAGTATGTGTTTTGAAAGATTTTCAATACAAGATAGATTTCTAGATCAAGGAAGATTCAACCTCATTTAGGCTTTTTTACCATCTTCAAAAATATTCAGAGCTTAGCTCTTCCCATTTTCTTACCTTATACAGCAAAATTGTTAAGATCAGTCAAAATTCCTCCAATACACACAGCTTAGAATTCAGAGAAACTTACCAGTAAGTCTGGCTCTCAGAGCCAGATTTCAGCCTGTGACCAATTTGGTCATTGCATTGGAAGCTCCTGGGAAACAAATGGTCACCTGGGTCTTGAGAAGGGTGAAAAATTGGGTTCTTTGGAGGGTGGAGTAGGTCAGAGGTTGCGGTTCTTATATTGAATATTCCAGCATTATTTATTTGATCAAAGTAAAATACATTTTCCATCACTACAAACTGAGCACAACTAGTTTACACATCCATATTTTTATGACGTGCCAACATTTTGCATCCTACGTGAAAAACATTTGGTTTGGAAAAAAATCTTAAAGTTCTCAGTCTCGTTTCCTATCTACTCTCCTGTTGTCTCCCATTTTCTGAAGACATTTTGTACTAATTGTGTGAGATTGATTTCCCCAGACACCTAAACAGTATGGAGGATAGCAAGGAACAGCACAAGAATTCCCATGTGTAGGAGATGGCAAACCCAACTTTGGCTAATGGCATTGAAAACAACCCAGAAGGGCAGGCAGAGAGGTATTCCAGGAGGCGGCAGTGAACCCAGATTCCCATTTATCAGAAGCAAACATAGAAGGTTATATACATAAGAAGCTGTTGGAGGTTCAAGGCTTCAGACACAATCACTAATAAAACCACCATGCATCCCACCATGCACCATGAATATCAGTTCACTATGTAGTGTGTGTGTGTAAACGAGGACTCAAATATCCACCTCTAGTATCCCGACTGTTACTACACTACAGGGGTCACTTGTACAGCCACTGGACCTCAGCAACACAGGTTAGTAAATACTGACTTGCAGGGAGGAGATAAAGCCACAATTCTTCCTTCTACTTCCCTCCAAAGTATTAGAACTGGGGGAGGTAATAAGTTCTGAAAAGAAACTGAAATATAACTCAGAGCTGTGTATACTACATTTTCCATTCATTGACTGACTATTCTGCTACTTTCTCATGGCAGGATTCCGCAAAGGGTACATGGAAACTTAGCATTATCTTCCTCCGCCACCCCCCCAATTTTTAATTTTATTTTTTAAATACTGCATCACTGCCTGAAACAGGCTGTTCCTACGCATCAGTAAGCATGGAATCCTACCATAGCTAATGACTTATTCTTGATCCTCTCTAGGGTTTCCCAAAATGTGTTCTATAAGAGCCAGGCCTTGGTTTGTTTGGAAAGTGGTTTTGGCACTTTGATGATGAGCTGGCTCTGGAAAAGCATATTCCTTGTCCCAGAGAAAAGTAGGTAGGAGGTAGAAGGTTTGCCTTTGTGGCTCTGGTGAGAGGTGGGGTGGTGGGGGAGGAGGTGTGGAGAAGAGGAGGGGGGGGGAATGAGGATGATGGGAGAGCAGATAGTTTCAATCTGTGGGCATAGATCAAAGTAAGGCAGAAGCAAATCCACTGGTGCTGCCCTTTTTCTTTATACAGATTTTTAGAAAAGTTAGGGTTCTATATTTGCTCATAGCCTGAGAAAATAGATTGTAGACTCAAGTTAGGTTCACATGGGTACGTTACAAATCTACAGAAAAAAAAATCTAAGTAGCATCAACTGACATGGTTCAACACCGAAACACTGCCAAGTTACTCCAGAAGGATACAGAACTGTGTAGACGCGGACAAGTCAAAGCCTTTCCTGTCATTACTGCTCCCCACTGTCAAGGGCTTGAGCCGAGTTGGTGCTAGAGAATCTTGATCCAAGCAACTATTGCTCCTCCTTCTATGGCTTTTGCAGAAATGCGTACGCTATTATTTGATTAGTACATACCCAGATATACGTGTTTGACTTTGAGTACACAGCAAAGGAGACAGCGTCAGACACACGACACTCCGGGCATCCATTTCATTCATACATCCCCAGTCAGACCAAAGTAAAAATCACAAGAAGGTGTCTGTGGTGACGAACATTATAAAGGTTATAAATCTTAACAGGCCCCTGAGAGTTTTTTCCCCTTATGCTTAGGTGAAAAAGGCAATGAACAAGACCCTCTCATTCTTTAAGTGCTTTGTGCAACGGTGTCCATGTAGATCCGTTCGGAGATCTTTGGGGAGGAGGCTCTTGGGCTGGGTGCAAGTCTTCCTGCAGCATTCCAGTCTCCTATGGAGCCTCGGGGGTGGCGACCCTCCAGTTCCAGCGTGGGCATCACACGTCCACCACTGTAGCTCTTGCTCCCGTGAGCATGGTGAGGGTCAGTCCCGCAGACCTGTACAGATGCTTTCGGACAGTCTCCTGGTTTCCAGAAAGCGTCATCTGGGTGAGATGCTGGGGCTGGGGAAGGAGCCGGAGTTCCTTGGGGACTGGAAGGGGACAGCGGCGGACGTGGGGGACCGCTTGGGGCTGCACAGATCCCCATTATGCAGCTTCCACAGCAGCTCCTCATTCTCCATGGACAGTCTCTTGTTGACTTTGGACTCCTTCTCCAGAGACTCCTGCAGAACGGCCTGCTCGGTGGACAGTTGCCTTGAAGACAAAAAACAAAAAACAAACAAACAAAAAAAAAACACTTAAAAAAAATGCTTAGCATTTACAATTCGAGCCCCTGAAACAAGCCCTTGGGAACAAAAGGGGAGCCCTGCACAGAACTGCTGGGCAAGGGGGTGTGGCTGCTGGCCACACACCAGGAACCTGAGCCTGAGCCAAAGGTAAAGTACCTTTGTAGGGGGGTAGGCTGGGGAGGGGGTCATGGTTGGCTGGGTAACCCTCCCACAGCCTTTCTCCATGTCTTATGACTCTCTTACGTCTGGGGCTGTTTCTTATTTGGACTTGGGATGCTCCTTCCCCAAAAGCACACTCAGGATCAATAAGCCAGGGACCGCAGTGGCCTACACTGTGGTGGCAAATGCACAAAAAGTGTTCCCATCTAATTTTCCATGGGGCCGTGAGCACTTGTTCAACCACACGCTTCAGTCCCACTTGCAGAGGTGCATCGCTGGAGCATGGTTGAGAGAGCAACACTTGTCACTCAAGGAAGAGAGGAGCTCAGGAAACGCAGGACCGTTTTGTTTTTTGTTTTTTTCTTTTTTACCTTGAAATTGCCATGTGCTTGTCCATCCGAGCTTTTAATTCCTCATTCTCCTGCTGGAATCGCTTCAGTTTGTCAACCAGCACGGTGTTGTTGTCCACCTTGGTGTAAACGAGAATGCCAATGTTTATAGGTTAAAAATAAAGCCCCTCCCCTTCAGCACATTCCTCACCCCAGAGTACTGGGGCAGATTTAATTAAGGCAGGTTTAGTAATAGACTGAAGTATCTGCATTCAAGAAGAATCTAAAGCAGCAACACAGAGCATCTAGGGATAGATTTTTATTATTTTTTATTTTTTATTTTTTAAAAGATTTTATTTATTCATGAGAGACACAAAGAGATGCAGAGACAGGCAGAGGGAGAAGCAGGCTCCCTGCAGGGAGCAGGATACGGGACTGGATCCCCGGACCCCAGGATCATGCCCTGAGCCAACCAGGATCATGCCCTGGCTCAACCACTGAGCCACCCAGGCATCCCTGGAGACAGATTTTTTAAAAAAATGTATGCCAGGCCACTGAGACACCCAGGGGGAACGTATTTGTTCCGGGTCACATTGTTTTAGAACCGCCCCTGAGAATCGGTGCTCTGCCTTGGGCAGCACTGGGGGCTGTGCGCCTCTTTCAGTTTCAAGGTGGTAAAAGGAGAACAGCAGCTCACCTGCACTACAGCTTCCTACAGTAAATTCGGGAGAAAAAAAATTTCCCATGTTCGAAGAAAATTCCTAGCAGGCCAGCAGTTAACAGCTTGGCAATGTCTACTGTGGCCCTCCACATGGTTTCCAGGTTCTCTGGAGCCTTTACCTTGGGGTGGCCGCACAAAGTGCTGATTCTCAAAGCTCTGTAGAGCACCAACCGGGAAGAGGGGCATCAGAGAGAGCCTCCCTCTTCGGTTCAGTGAAGAGACATTTGTTCTCCTGCTGGCCTGCCCAGGCTAAGCTTTCAAGGAAAACAAATTGATCAGGGGAGAGATGAAAAGATATAATCCCAGAAGACATCTAATTGCTTAACGTGACAAAGAGTTGATTACATCCCATGACTTTCTAAAGGTAAGCTGTTATTACTTGCTTTGGTAGTGACATCACAGCTCTGACAGAATTAATTCTAATCCCTGTCTCTACAGCGTATGACTCATCTGCTCTGATTATGACTTTTGGTTGGGAGTCCTGGTGTTCTTACCATTTCCTATGATCCAGAAAATGCTCGGGACAAGCCTGTCAGGTGGAATAAATTTCCCCCAAATGAGACAATGTAAGAAAAAAAGGGAGCCTTGGAACTCCCAGTCATCAAAGGAATTCAAGATAAAACATGAGGTGGTGAGATTTGGAATGAGAGACTGGGCAGGGACTGGCCTGATAGTATCATCTCATCCAATTTTTCTTTTTATAGAAGAGACTGGCCCCAGTGATGCCACACAGCTGACCACTGGCAAAGCTAGTCTTCATACCAAAATTTTTGTGCTGAGAAAGCCTCCTTGCTTTCTATGAGCCTTATTTCTACAGAGGCTTAGAGTTTACAAATACAAGCATACTTCATTTTATCATATCTCACTTCCTTGTGCTTTGCAGATATTGTTTGTTTGTTTATTTATTTATTAACAAATCGAAGATCTGTGGCAACCCTGTGTCAAGGAAGTCTACTGGCACAATTTTTCCAATAACATTTGTTCTCTTCAAGGTCTCTGACACATTTTGATAATTCTGGAAATATTTCAAACGTTTTCACTATTATTACATTTGCTATGGTGACTTGTGATTACAGTGAGTACTGATTACAACTCACTGAAAGCTTAGATAGCACTTTTTATCTAAAGTATGTGCATTGAGGTTTTTTGTTTGTTTTCACATATAAAGCTACTGCACACTTAATAGACTTTTATATGCACTGGGAAACCAAAAAGTGCATTTGACTCACTTTATTGCAATACTGGCATTGTGGGGTCTGAAACCGAGCCCACAGTAACATTCACTGAGGTATACCTATAGATACAACAGGTAAACCCGTGACTACTTTATCAATCAACTCATTCTTCTGCATATGTGCATGCAATGCTAATACCATGATAACCTCTTGGACATGGCAAGAAACAAAAATATTTATGGATCAACAAAATTATAATGTCTTGGTAATTTTACAGCAGAGACTGTTCTTCATGTATATGGTATTTTAAAAAGTTTGGATGCATAAATGGCATATGGGGCAACAAATTATTAACAAGGTTAACTGTATCACCAGTGAGCGCCATTTTAGCTGAGGTATCAGGCTTGGTGTTACAGGATGCCCTTTGGCAGGAACTGGTGTCTACACTAGATTAGGCATGTTAATAAATCCTAAGGGTTCTTCTTTCCTTCCTTTAAAAGAAAAATCAAAACTTCCTGGCAATTCAAAGCACTCATATATCCAGATGGGGGCTTCACCTTTACCTTCCCCTCCACAGTGAGGTAATGGTGTCTCTAGAAGAAAACCGACCCAAACCAAACACCAAAACCCAAACAAACAAAAAAGTAAACAAAGAGTTGCCTCTAGACTCCCTGTTGTCCAGAGCTGGTTTGAGCTTCAACGAGGCACTCAGTTACTCAATAATGAATCATTCATAACTAGGGGACAGAGGACGAGGGACAAGCACTGTGAGGCAGCTGGCACAGTCAAGAGCAAAGTACAGCAATGGCTGGGATCACTGAGGCTGCCTTGTCAAACCCTGCCCACTTGGTGAGACTCCTGGCTACCAGCATCTGTGTTCCAGGGCTGGGCGAGCACGGACTTCCGGGGAGACTTGTCATGGGTTGACATCAGTGCTCTGGCCTAGGGGCCTCAAACTCAGCTTCATTCATATTTTTCATAACGTTTGCATTTATCCAACCAGATTAATTTTCTGAGAGCACGACTCTTCTATCACATTCTACTTCATGAGAGAGATTAAGAATTTAGAAAGAAAGTTGAATTGCCGTAAGGTGGTTAGCTTACATATTCAACTGCTTTGGGCATATAGACACCAGCCTAGAGTTGGTGATATATTCAAGTACTGATTTTTACATGATTTTAAAATTCTTCCTAGATGGGTCAAGATTCACAGATGCCTGAAACAGAAGCCTAATTAGTTTGTTGTGATTCTTCCAAGGACCAAATGCTGCTTTATATTTTCCTTGAAAAAAATGTTCCAGAAGGCAGCAACAGATAAGCCTCAAGCAAACCCACAGAAGAAAATGTAACCTCTTCTACTGTCTGCACATTTCCAAGTATCTTTAAGCAGCAGTTAAAACGACTCCACAGTTCTAGTTCAGAGCTCAGTTCCTATGCCACAGACATTGTTCTATTGGGTAAAACTCTGAAAGAAACATACCAGTTTCTCCATTTTCATTAACTTGATGTCCTGTTGATGTAGTTTCTCATTCTTGATCTCCAGCACGGCTTTCAGGCTTTCTAACTCTTGCTCCAGATACATGAGCTGAGGGTTCTTCTGGAACAGACACAACAGAACACAGCTCTGATTGTTTAACACATGTTGTTAAATTCTTAATAGAAAGTGTATTTGATTAGATTTAGAAATTGGGCAAACAAATAGTAAGAGACTTTCTTACAGCAGCTTCAGAGAAAGAAGTGGAAAAAAGGGTTAAGAACTGTAATCTCAAAGGCTTTGGTTATAGGAATGAAATTAAACATTTCATCTTTGAAAACAAACATTTCACTCATTCATCAGAACTTAACATGGAAAAATATTGGTCGTACCAAGTACTTTACTGGAAGAGAAAAAAACCCATTGCTTACAATACAAAACAACTTTGGCTAGAGATGAAGCTATTACAAGTCCTTTACTGGTGTTTGGAGGGAAAAAGGGAATAATTGTTCTCTCTCAACAAAGTCAGTAACTGATCAGGAATGAAAAGGCAGTCCATTTATAGGGTGCTCTGCAAAACAACAAAATGACAATAATGTCCTGTGTCTTTGGGACTTTTATTACTATGGGACTATATTGGCCTGGCCTATACTTCTTTTTTATTCTGTGACCTGACCCCTACATGGCATAGAGCACATGCATTGTGAAAATTCTGTCCAAAATAAACACCACAGGGTGCAATCCTGACTCCTTGTTTTATTTATGGAAATCCAAGTGAACCATTCAAAACATACAAATTGATAGCATCAGATCTACTGATCAGATGTTTAATAGGGATTTTCTCAGACAAGTGTCAATAGTGTTGATCATCCAAACTATCTTGCTGGGCAGCGGTTAATGCTCCGGATCAATCCTTAAGGAAGATCAGGGAATGGGTCCTCGCAGATTACTTATTCAAACCCCTCACTTCACGGGAGATAGTGAGTTCCACAACTCAGATGCCCAGATCTGGGAACATGCCAGAGCCAGAAAGTGCCAGGGCAGGCATAACACCCAAGCCTGCAAATCCAGGGCTCGTTCCCAAATTTCAGAGGTCTCAAGTACTGCCATCCTTTTACATATGGTGTTCCGCCCTCCCCAGAGGTAGCAAATCCCATCTTGTTTCTGTTAAAAGGGGACAGAATAATCACTCCATCCATTTTTAATACTGGGGCATTCACAGCCCTGTCCCCACAGCAGCTCTGCCGACTTCCCAGCCAGCCTGTGCCGGTTTCAGATGTGCTCCCACAGAGGTCAGGCATCAGGTAACCCTGCTTTCCTCAATCTGTTTCCGTTCATTTTCAAAAGCTGCTGCAGTTCCAGGAAGCTCTTTAAAATCTGCTTCTGGAACCACTTGAAGGTTTACACCCTGCATGTAAGTCTAGAGATTTTTTTTTTTTTAATCGCTGCTTTGTCTAAGAATCTTCCAGAATAAATAGCTTTGAAGTTTCACTGGAGATGATCTCATCTAATCTAATTGTATTCAAGTGTCTAGAGGGTGTCCTCCAAAGACATCAGCAAAAGATTTCACTGAGAACCCACACACACGTACTTTTCAAGCTGGCAGATTTTAAGTGGCAAAATAACTTTGCTTCTGCAGTTCCGTGCACAAATATATGGAATGGAAATGGTGGTGGAGATAGAAACAGAAAAGAATTTTTTTTTTTCCTCAAAAGTAAGGTGGGGGCGGGGGAGTAAGGATACAAGTTGCAAGAGAAAGTTGAGCTTATGAGATAAATTTGTACTTTTTCAAAAGTGAGGATTATCCATAGGACATACTGTTCAGACCTAAATAGGAACACAGTGCCTACACATATTACAATATGTATCAACCTAGAGAACATAAGCTGAGTGAAAGAAGCCAGACAAAAAGGCCACACAGAGCAGGATTCTATTTGTATGAAATGTCTAGAATAGGCAAATCCATGGAGATAGAAAGTAGACTGGTGGTTCCCTAGAGCTGGGGGCAGGGGGTACATGGGGTGTGGAGAGGAAGGGGTACAGGGTTTCTTTTGGGGATGGCAAAATGTTTTGAAAGTAGATAACAGGTGACTGATGCACAGCTTGTGAACCAGAACTGCACATCTAAAGAGGTGAATGTCCTGATATGTCAATTATATCTCAATATACCAGTTAGTTAAAAAAAAAAAAAAAGTGTAGTTTTCCCATGATACCCTAACTCTCATTGTCAGTTTTCTTGTTTTCCTGTGGCTATCAGCTTAGGCCACTTGCAATGTACTGAGCTTCATCTGTATGTCAGATCTGAGGCTTTCTAAAAAGACACCAGTAAACAAAGAAGCCAGTTTAAAAAATCATTCTGCAAAATATGAAAAGGACCCCAAACCCATATCATTTCTCTAGCTACTGAACACTTAATTGACCCTCCAAGGCAACTGAGCAGAAGAAAACTCGGTAGTGATGGAGAAGCACACACAACTTACTAAATTTGCTTTCTCTCTTGATAGTCTTTTTTGTTCTTCTGATTTCAACTTTTCATTTAAAGCATCATTTTCACTCTTCAGATCATTGATTTGTTTCTAAAACAAACAATGAAATGTGGAGCACAAGTTAACAGGCAGAGACCAGAAACATAGCAAATGTACACAGAAACACCGCCCAAACCACACAAACCTCAGGAATGAGGGTATTTTGGGGAAGCAGGTGTAAATAAGATTTACCTACCTCCAGCGATTCCTGCTTTTCGTGAAGCATATCCTCAAGTGATTTCTTTTCCATTTCATGGCTTTTCTTGATTTCTGGAAAGAAGGGATTTTTTTGGAGGCAATGACATCCTATGAGATCATTGTATTCTATAGTTGTTAAAGCACGTAGATCTAAGAGTTGATTATGAGGCCGTATGACTATGTTACTTTATATTTGTAAGATGCTTTTAAATGAATTAAGCTAGCTATTGTCCAATTAGGCCTATGATGGGAGGAACACAGATACTTCCATTTTATGATGGAGAGCAAAGAGGCCCAGAGGCCACAGGATACACCATGTCCATCTCAGGTGTGTGGGCCTCAAACACTGGCCTTCACACTCCTGCACTCGAGTTCCTGTGTACTTTTCCATTTGCTCTTCATGAATCAAACACAAGTCTAAAGTTGAACCCAATTCTAGCAGGAAGGAAGAATGACAATGTTTACTAAATATCTACCCTGGGCCAGTCACTTTTACATATTATCATCTCTGACTTCATGTGACAACTCTATTTTTCTGATGAGAAAAGCCTTTGCCAAAGGCAGGCCAGCCAGTTCTTACCCCGTGTCTACAGGCTTCTTCTATGGGACAAGCAGAGCTAAGTGTAATAACTTCCACTACCCTCTGTGTTCTTAAAGAAGTGGCTCCTTCTATTCCTTCTACTTCAATCTTTCTAATCATGATAAAATAATTTTTTTAAAAATTATTTCTTAACTCAGCAAGTGCCATGTTCTTTTCACAGCATTTTCTGTTGTGCAAGACTATTGGCAAGCAAGTGTTGCTTAGCATGGGTCTTTTACCATGTCCAGGATATAAACTAACACTTTCAACTTCCCGCAACTTCAAGTGGTAAAGAACAACCACTGCCAAAAAGACCTTTATGTTCTATAAAAGTTAGTCTCACACCTTAAAAGGCATTTGTGACAAACTATTATTTGCATCCGAAGGGGGAAAGGGCATCTGCTTACAATGAACAATGCAAAAAGAAAGCAAAAACATTCCCAACTGAATACCACAGGGTATTCTCTGGAAGGGAAAGTTATGAATCATTTCCATTTTAAAACATATCATGCTGTTCCATTAGATCTGATTCTATTTTAAAAAAAAAAGAATTCTTGCCTGAAAGGGAGGTTTCATAGGCCTTCTTTAGTAATTCAATCTTCTCTGAGTGGCTAGCTTCAATCTCCAACTTAGAAGTTTCATGGGCAGCATTTAAGTTGTCGAACTAGAAGCAAAAAAAAAAAAAATAGTTTACCAGTAAAATTAAAAGTCTTAAGTTGAATAATAAGCAGCAGTATTAGGACACTTGACACATAAACTTGCGTTCAAGTTAAAAGGCTGCCTGACAATATGGATAGAACAACCCAAGCTGGATCTGTCACTCCCAATTCTACACTCTCTCCCCGCTCAGGAACACAAACACACAGGTTCTCCAGGGTTCACTGATGCAAAAGGCCAAGTTCATCATAATTAATGAGGATATGTTTCACGGTGATAGAACCACAGAAGATCCATGCCTGTCATCCTGGTCTTCATATCTGCAATCCCTGGCACGTGCCCAGCATATAGTATGCACTCGGTAAATACTTACTAAATGGAGAATTGATTTTAAAAGGAAGTGAGAAAATTAAAGAGAAGCTTATGATATACTATTAAGTGAAAAATATGGGTTATTAAGTGTCAGTTTAAAAAAGAAGAAATGCAAACCAATTATGTAGCAGTATAACATCAAAAGGGATTACTTCCCAGGTAGTAAGGAAGGTTTTTATTTTTTTTTATTTTTTTTTTTAGCTTTTCTTTTTCTTTCCTTCTTTCACTCAACATTGCTTTGATCCTAAGAAAAAATCGAAAAACCTCTTTTCACTTATTTAAATAAAAAGAAGTTCAAAGGAAGTTCTTCATCAAACAATTAGAATTCAAATAGTCATGACCAAGGACATGATCAGACTCCAAAGGCACAGACCTGCTCTTGCAATTGAGTTTTATACTTCTCTGCTTCTTCAATATAAATATTCTGGAACTTTTCACATTCCCCGGTGTAAAATTCTTTAAGCCGATTCTCTAGCTCTGAGAGATCGGTCTGGTGCTGCTGGTTCAGCTTCTGGACAAATCCTTCATAAGCTATTTGCAACTCATTCTTGGCTTTTTCTAATTTCTCACAGGTAGATGAAGCAGTGACTAAAAGAGAGGAAAAAGGCAAAAAAAAAAATTCATCTGCTGAATATCCTAAATTCACCACATTCTCACATAGCTGTGAGGACTCTGGAAACATTAGCACAGTACTCTGAGTACTTTGTTGTCTCTTGACCAGATTTTCATATATAATGGTATAAAAGTGAACGATAAATAGGAACAAGAAGAAATGGTCACTGGCAGCAAAATAAAAGCTCCATAACCACAAAATAAAAACCAAAACCAATACCCCTTTTTGACCCCCTCACCCCGCCTAACACACAACCATCTAGCAAGTAGTAACGTTAGTACTTGAAAAGAACCAGGTTTCCAAGGGAGAAGCACCCTTTGTGTGTTGACCGATCAGTGCAGGGGCCATAAGGAGGGGAGGCTCTGATTGGCTGAGGCGTCTCTAAGGCTGAAGAGCCTGTAGGGAGAAGCTAAGGCACGAGGGGCAAGGAAGATCGGAGATAAGAAATAAATGGATTTTAAGCTTCTACTTAATTTAAGCTGATTTCAAAAATTCAGTAATAAAAACAAAGTATTAGAGTATGTTGAACACAAATCACCAGAGCATACCAACTTTAGAAAGAACACATTTTAAAAGCTACAACGTAGGGGTGCCTGGGTGACTCAGTCCCATAAACATCTGCCTTGGGCTCAGGTCATGATCTCAGGGTCCTGGGATGGGACACAGCATCTGGCTCCCAGCTCAGAAGAGCGCCTACTTCTCCCGCTCCCACTGCCTGTATTGTCTCTGTGTGTCAAATAAAATCTTTATTAAGCTGAGTGGGAAAAATTAGAGAGGAAGATAAACCATGAGAGATTCCTAACTCTGGGAAACAAATGAAAAAAAAAAAAAAAGGTTGCAGAAGAGGGGGTGGTTGGGGGGATGGGGTGACTGGGTGATGGCCACTAAGGAGGGCACTTGATGGCATGAACACTGGGTATTCTATGTTGGCAAACTAAATGAAAAATAAAATCTCCAAAAAAGCTATGTATGAACATATCAAAAGGGTATTATTTTTAAAGACAAAGTAATCTGAAAAATATAACTTAAAATCAGATCATCTTACCTCTTCATCACCACTACTGAAAACGCATAAGGTATTAACAATACATTGCAGAACTTGCACATAACTGCATACCCACTCACACTATAATAAATCCTGGAAGATCTCTATCATTTCTCAGGAAGCTTGACTTTTGATTTTCCGACCTTCCTTTACCAACATTCAATACAGGTGAAAGGAGTGCTACTCTGTCAGGAAGATGCAAGTTCTCAATATCCTAAAATACCCATGGATTAATATAAAATCAGTACCAGTAAGTCAGTTGTTAGTCCTCACCTCTCTTTTGGTAAGGATTATATATTTCTGCAGTTGTGGAAGGAGTATGAGTTTTAGGGCAGAGAGAAGGATAGGTTAGCTTAATGATCATTCTACTTAAGTCATGTGAACTGGCTGGTTCCTGGGATGAATTTCCAACAACGAGGTAGACTTGTTTTCTGGGGAATATGCCATGTGGCAGTAGAAGTATTAGTCATGTGTCCCCTACTGGGATTCTTTCAGAGGCAAAATGGACCATCTTGAATGATGGCAAGGAAGAGTGTCTGCTAAAGAGAACCACTGAGATTCAAATAAATCCATAAATATTTATTGAAAGGGAAAGGAGCATAAAAAAAAAGAATAAAACTACTACTCAGTGACTGGCACAGAATGAAGCTCCCTACACATTATCTGATCCTCCCAGAAGTTCTGTGAGAACCTCATCACTAAATGAACAAGGGAGCCAACAAAGGTTAAGTAGTTCGCCTATAAGCACATAGCTAAGTAAGCGGCGGAAGGCTGGACTGTGGTAAGCAGTTTGGATTCTGATGGTCTGCACCCAAAGCCTGTGCTTTCTCCCATCCCACCCAGATGTTTTTTTGTGCTAGAAACTAGTGAGAAACAACATGGAGCTCACTGGGAAGCTCACAGTCTAACTGAGAAGACAAGACATATACTTTTGAGAAGCAACAATACAAGGTGGTACCTAAGGATCCAATAAATGGCCCTCAAAGTAGTTTACATCCAGCTGGGATGGTCTGGAAGGTTTGGTAGCATATTAAAACAAATTTTTGTACAGTTGTGGCAAAATATATACTACATAAAATTTACCATTGCAAATCATTTTTAAGTGTATGGTTCAGTGGCATTAAGTACATTCACACTGTTGTGCAACCATTGCTGCTATCTCCAGAACTTTCTCCCTTCCCCCAAACTCAAACTCCCTACCACTTAAACAGTAACTCCTCAATCCCTCCTCCCATGGCAATTATTTATACCTTGTCTCTGCGAATCTAAGTACCTCATATAAATGGAATCATACTGAATTTGTCCTTTTTTTGTGCCTGGCTTATTTCACTCAGCATCACGTCTTCAAGGTTCATACATGTTGTAGTACATGTCAGTATTTCCTTCCTTTGTAAAGCTGGATAATATTCTATCATATGGATAGCTCACATGTTGTGTATTCATTCAGCTGTCAATGGACAGTTGGGCTGCTTCCACCTCTTGGCTATTGTGAATGTTACCGTTATAAACACGAGCACACAAACATCTGTTCAAGTCCCTGCTTTCAATTCTTTTGAGTATGTACCTGGAAGTGGAATTGCTGGGTCAGCTGGTAATTCTGTTACTTGAGGAACCACCATCCTGTTTTCCATAATGCCTACACCATTTTATGTTCCCACTAGCAATGCAAGACAGTTCCAGTTTCTCCACATTTTCACCAAAACTTGCTTTCCTTTCTTCTGAGCCATCCTAATGGGTGTGAAATGTCATCTCTCTGCGGTTTTGATTACGCCAGCACTTTAAAAAACTGAGCCATAGGATTATAAATGCCATTCTGATACTGAGAGTGACAACTATTCTACCGTAAGCAACGGTGGGAGATGATGCAGTGTGCCTTGGGAACTAGAACATTCATGAGGCAGAACAATGGGAGATGAGACCCAACAAGGTAGATGGGGGCCAAATTATAGAGGCGATCAAATGCACCATCACTGACAAGCAGTCCTGTGGAACTAAATTTTGGAAGTTCTTTCTTTTCTTGAAAAGAACTTAATGAAAGATAATGACTATGCTGATGGTCACACAAAACTCTTTCCACTTTTCTTTTTTATTGTATTATTCACAATGATTCAAGTAGGCAAATGTTTAGGGGCGTCTGGGTGGCTCAGTAGGTTAAGCATCTGCTTTGGGTTCAGGTCATGATCTCAGGGTCCTAAGACTGAGCCCTGCATTGGGCTCCCTCCTTAGCCGGGAGTCTGCTTCTCCTTCTCTATTTCTTCCTCCCCGCTTGTGTGTGCTCTCTCAAATCAGTCAATCAATCTTTGAAAAAAGTGTTTTAAAATGCTAGTCAAGCAAGTACACACAACATGAGCTTCCATTAATCTTCCACTAACCTTCCCAAGTACACAAACGACAGCCCCACATGCTTTTGTGTGTGAATGCCACACACTATATGAAAGCAGCCAATAGAAAAATATTCTGCAAGCAGTCAGTAAATACATCAAACAACTTTCTAATCAGGGCACTCCTGGTTTCATACAGCCTTTTCACTTAATTCCATTGGAATTTCAAATGTCAAAAAATAAAAAGTTATAGTATGATTCCAGCTGATTTTAATGTTCCTTAATAGAGAAAGAAATGTCTAAGGGAACCTAGAACTAGACGATCTTGTCTGTGAAGTTAACAGTATGTTACTTCTGCTGAATTTTAACAGATTTATTTGTAGTGAAACCACCATCAGTTTGAATGTATACCTATGGTGCAGACTTCAAAATCAAATAGGATATATGGAAATCCTCTCACATGAGCCACTGTTAAAAAAAAAAAAAGGCAGGGGGCACCTGGGTGGCTCAGTCAGTTAGTTAAGTGTATGCCTTCAGTTCAAGTCGTGATCTCACGGTCCTGGGAACGAGCCCCCTTGCATCACTGGGCTCCCCAGGAAGTCTGGGGAGTCTGCTTCTCCCTCTCCCACTCATGCCTGCTCTCTTTCTCAAATAAACAAAAATCTTAAAAAAAAAAAAAAAGAAAACAAAACTTAAAAGTGTTTACATTTGGTTGGCCACTGTGAGCTAAGTGAAGCTAAGTGAGCTAAGTGAAGGGAAGGGGAAGGAAAAATGGGTCAGAATGGGAAGCAGAGGATTTACTGCTGTTAGTACAACAATCTGAAGCGCAGGCCCAACCCCAAGCAGTGACATCAGCCCACAGCTGTGCACAGACCTTTGCTCTGCTACTGGCTTGGTGTGCCATGTGGACAACAGCTGGGCTGAAATCATCCCTCACACAAACAGCTTTACTTTGAATTAATTGGCCCCGGGCTCCTGAAGGATCATTTTTATTTGGCATAAAGACTCATGAAGTACTTTTTTAAAGGACATCCATGTAAACATCACATCAAGGGGTCTGAGTGCTCCTTTGCTGCCAGACACACACTGTGTGGGGAACCAGGGGGTGATGGATGTGACCCTCTGGTTTTAGTCATGGACTTTTTTTTGTGCTTGTGACAGTTTAGGAGAGATTTCTAATGCCACCTGTGCTTGCTCTTACCCCTTGTTCTCAGCCTTGTCTCTTCCTTAAATACTCTCCAGAATTCCACTCCCTTTCAGGCAATTCATCAGGTACCCAACAAAAGCCAAAACAAGAGGAGATCTTTCAGAATTTCCAGTAAGCAAGCAAGGAGTTTTCACAGTGTTAGGTAATACTGTTTCAAGAAGTTATTGCACAAATATAAAGTCCATATAGTACAAAGTATTCTTTTTGTCCTGATATTTAAATGTTTCTATTAGGTGATTGTTAAAAGCCTGTCTGTGATGAAGGATGCCTGGTGAAGAGCTGAGGAACTGTAACTTTTGTACACATGGGTCAACTACAAAAGCCCTCTCCAGCAGTCCACCTTAGAATGAGAAAGAATTTTCAGAATTAGGAAGGAAAGAAACTAACTCATTTACAAGATCA